GGGGAAGGGAGGGGGAGGAGGAGAAGGAGAAGGAGAAAGAAGCAGCAAAAACAAAACCCCAACCCCAAGAATGTTGGCGCATGCCTATAATCCCAGCACTCTGGGAGACTAAGGCAGGAAGATGACAGGTTCAGCCTAGGCAAATTAGTGATTTAACAAGAAAGACCCTGTCTCAAAACAAAAAGTAAAAAATGGGGCGAGGATGTAGCACAGCAGGAAAGCCTTAGGTCCAATTCCCAATACTAGAACAAAATACACAAGAACAAGCAAAAAACTGATCAAGTAAAAGAAGACCAAAACCAAAATGTCAAATAAGGATTTCGGATATTTTGTATATTTGTACAATGGAATTGGTGAATGCCTACTGAACAGTTTGTAGAAACCGCGCCCACATCGTGTCCATCACATGTTGCCTATGGTTCTGTTGCTGTTAGTTTACAGGGTACCAAAAGCATTTCAAATAAATGGGTGAGAAAAAGTGGTGGGAAATGTATACTCAATAATGATTTCTAAAGCAGTTCTGTTCCTTTTTGGATCCAGTGTTATTTAATATGAAATAGGCATACAATTTGAAATAATGTGGTTTTCTGAAATCTTTTTCTGCATTTATTCAACTGCAGAGACATTTTCTAATACCATGAAACAACTTATTTTCCCTGAGATCCGTAGAGGCCAAACTGCAAACTTAGCTGAAAGTATGAGTTAGCCTCAGAATGTCTTTGTTAGCACAAGCTCTGGTTATTAAATTTGAATTGATAAATGAGAATACTTTACAAGCTAAATGAATAGGTAAAAATAGAAACAGACAGAAATGAAAATACCACCCTCAATTTTTTTTTGGATGTAGAGATTATAGCAGAGTAGTGAAGAATGAGCATTATAATAAATTAATATTTGTCGAGAAACTATACCCAATACTGTATTAACATAGCTGCAGTCGAAAGAGACCATTTTTACAGAAATAATTTAATTTCTTCATGATCACAGTCAAAAGTATCATAAACAGGAGCACTTAACATCGAGCAAGATGCCCATAAAAAGCATTGTAGTTTTGAGCTAGAAACAAAAATATTTGAATGTTTTTCACTGTATTTTTTTTTCTACAATCTTTTTTCAATGCATTGTTATTCAGGAGGGATATTCCTGTTAAACTATTAAATTTGCAATGTAAAACAGCTTTCACTTTTTGTGTTCTTAATGACAATTGAGAAATTACCTGTAATTTTTGTAACATACACTAATTCTATTTAATAACTGTACTTTGTCTTCTTTTTTAGTGCTAAATTTGGTATAACGTCAAAGCCAGATGGGTAGATTAAAAAAAAAAAATCAAATCTTTTAGACTCCATTTGGAATAAAAGCTAGTAACAAATATAATCTAATAATGTCTGTGTGGACACTAATTGAAACTGTTTACAATCACCATCTTAAAACTATATGATTCTGCCTAAAATCTAAGGAAAGTCAGCTCCCTATTGGTTTTGGTGGTCTTTTTACTAGTGAAGAAGTTAAGGAAAAAGGTTTTCATTTTTAAGAAAAACTGCAACTTATTTTTCTGGAAATTAAAACTAATATAACTACAACCTGACATTAAATTGAAAATAATATATTTTCTTTTTTTTTAATAATACATTTACTTATTGATAAGGGTCGAATGCACATAAGCCATGCCTGTATCTACAGCGCACTGGGTTACAACTCCTCCTTTTATAGGGTTTCACAGCCTTGACTTCATGTGGGTGGTTACATTTCATTCTCACAGTTCAAAACACGGTCACAGAATAATCTTTTCAACCCCGACGTAACAGTTCTTTGCAGTTGGGGAGTTTACCTTTCAGATTGGCCTAGTTATCTATTCTAGTTCATAGGTTCAGGGTCAGGGGAGCAAATGTTAGCAATGGGTTCTTTGATTTAGACACTCTTTCGATCATGTGGCTCCAGTTTCACTGGAGCTCAAGACCCTGACGTGCCCTGTTAGCTCAGGTAAGACCAAATGCCTCCTTCAGCAATTAGTGCCTTCAGTGCCTGTTAGTTCTGAGCTAAACAAAACAAACTGGTGTCAGCGACAGCAGAAGCCATTTTACATTGTAGCACTTTATAGGTTTGTGCTATTTATAAGTTTTCCCTATCATTCCTCCCTTTGTTTTGGGGGGTAACTCCTTACCCCTCATTATAGAAAATAATATATTTTCAAGAATCAAGTACTTTATGCATATTTATAAACTGCCACTTATATCACTGCAAATTGTTGAAGTTTACTTTAATATTAAAACTTCACAAGCATGATTACTTTTGTAACACTACTTTTTAAGTAACACTGCTAAAATCTTGGACAGCTTCTAACATTATTAATAAATAAGACTACTTAGTATTTCAGATAACAAAAAATAAAGGCATCTTTTTGTCATTTTCTTTAACAAATTGCTGTGATTTTTATCATTTCTTTTAAAGTTTCTGTAAAAGCTATGAAGAAAACACCCTTTGAGGGGCTGGGGGATTTAGCTCAGTGGTTTTGCCTCCTGCCTTGCAAGCGCAAGGACCTGGGTTCAATCCCCGGTACCAGCAAAACGAAACAAACACTATTTGTCTCATAGTCATTCCCATGAAATATGTGATAGTCACTTTTGGGAATAGCAGGGATAGCAAGGAAAGATTAGGAGGTCAGAAGGGGAAAAAATATTAAAAATGAGTTTTTAAAAATATCCCATTCAAAATTGAAAAGTGTGACTTTTTTTTCACAGATGACTTATAGATGTACATAGGCTGTAACTCTTACCCTGATCAGTCATTAGAGAACAAAGCTCACAATCTCTAGTTATATTTTGAGCAATTAGAAACTAAATATTCTATAGTGTAGTTTCACAGTGGCTAAAATGTATTAATCTCAAATGAATAAGACCTGGAAGTCTTTCACATCTAACATTTGTGTTCTGGAAAATTTATGTAATAACCACCTAAATCATTATTTATCATACCGGTCATTTGTCATACCATAGCAAACCATATTACGTTGATATAATAAAATCCTATCTTGGTTTAGGCCTGAAATGATAGATGCTGCAAGGAACAAAGCTCGGGTGAAAGTCTGCTATATTATGATTGGACTCACAATTATTGCCTGCTTTGCAGTGATAGCATCAGCCAAAAAGGTAAGTCCCTCCTTAGCACACAGGCAGACTTGAGGCCAAGTCTGTGCCCAAGAGAGACAAACAAAATAAATGAAAACAAAAACAAGGCAGTTTTAACCTGGTAAAAATCTGCACAAGGAGAACTTTGTTGCATGAAAGTTATCCAGGCTGCATCAGATCATGAGCTATCAGTTATTGCATAAAGTTAAGAAATAGGCCTTCTGCTATCTCTAATGCATGGTTTCTTAACAGAACCTCTTGGGAAAAATTAGAAGACAAGTTTCAATTTTGTTTTCTGCTTCCCCAAATCTTCAACCTGCTGGTCACTTTTTACACCAACGGCAGCACTGGGAGATAGGGAACTATCCCTCTATCTTTCTTCAGTCTTTAACAACTTCCGTGTTGGAATTCTCTGGATACTCTCCAGCTTTTCAGGTCCTCCGTTATGTCACCTGCAACGAAATCTACTAGAGCCAGATGCTGTCTTCTTCAGTAGTGCTCACTGCATTTCAAAGCAGCCACCACTCTTTGGCATAGTCAGTCAGCCAGTAACATCCCGCCTAATCCTGTGATTGTGTTGTTCTGCATCTCAGGTTCTCCTGAGACTCTGAGCCTACTAACCTCATGAAGGGATGAGAACCCATAAGCTTACAATGTAAATGTGTTTGTTTCTGTTAGCTTGGAAAATAACTTAGCCTGTAAAATTATCTTCATCCAATGCAAACTTTTAAAAATGCAAACATGTAAAATAAAAACCTTCAATCATCTCGTTTTAACTAGCCTACATAAATGCTTACCTGCTAAACCTAAGATTTTCTAGGTTCTAGGAGTCTTTTAATGGTTGGTATATTACCTCATTTACAACATGAAAGACAAAGTTTTGTTTTGTTTTGTGTTTTTGAGATGGTCTCTCTATGCAGTTCAGGCTGCTCTTGAACTCACTATGTAGTCTAGTCTGGTCTCAAACTTGCAGTGATCCCCCTGCCTGGGCCTCCCAAGAGCTGGGATTATATGCGGTGCACCACCATGCCTGGCCTAGACAGTAGGTTTTTCCCTCTAGATAAATGCCTACTTTCCTTGAAGGCTGGTGAGAGTAGTTTTAGTTGTTTCATGCTTTCCCAGTTTCTTCAGCTTCAACCCTGTACCAAAATCCAAATCCTGCATTCACCTCTTTGTAGGGATTAAATTCCTACCCCATACTTGTTAAGGACACTATTTTTACCAAACGTCCTAACTGAAACCATTTCCTTCCATCCTGGCTCCAGTCTCCTATTCCCACCAGTTCCTTCCCTGAGTCACCTTCATTTCTGATACCTGAAAGATTTTCCTTTCTTGTTAGAAGCTTAAATATTTGAAAGTATTTTGTTATTTGTATCCAACAAACATGTCTACATGTGCCGAGAGGATGGTGGTAGTTTTGACATATCTAGGATTTTTTCTTCCATATCAAAGAACCATTTTTCTTGGATAAAATTCGTAACATGTTTTAAGCAGCTTTTCTCAAAATCTCTTATATACCTTTAACTAAAATACAGGTTCTTCCAGGGAGTCACATTTTCTTTTCTTTTCTCTTCCCTCTCTCTTTGCAGGCTGCAGAACGGCATGAATCCTTAACAAGTTGGAACCTGGCAAAAAAAGCTAAGTGGCGTGAAGAAGCTGCAGTGTCTGCACAGACTAAAGCTAAATAATATTCTGAGTGATGAGGTGTGCACGAGTATCATTGTATTATCAGCCGACAGTAAAAGGTAAAATTTTTCAAGATATTGAAACATGATTTTATTTTGCTAACAAGAAGCACAAAGGCTCTGTGTTTTGGTGAACTTTTAAGTATAACAGCCATTAACAAGTGCACAGAAAGTGTAGCTGGAGAGATTGCTGCACAGTGAAGACACCCGTGTAGCCACTGCTGTCACTGCTGACACCAGTCGCACTTCAGAAGCCTTTCTGCTCTCGTTATGTTCCACAGAATAATTCTACCTGTTTATGGACTTTACACAGAATCACAGTATGCACTTTTGTGGATTCCCAACATTATGTTGTGAGAGTCCTCTACCAATAATGTTTCTGCATCTTTATTGTTGAGTAGTATTTCATTTTATAAATATGCCAGTTAATCTGGATATTTGGCTGTTTTGGTTACTGAAGAGAATGCTAAAATGAGGGCATTGTGCATATCATTAAAATGAAGCTGAACGAAATCATTAAGTGATCTTTAAAACCATAACTTATGTTCAACCTGAGTTCTACGATATTTGGTAACTGCACATAGTCCCTTTGATTATTCTTTTCATTGTATGCAACTAGGTGGGACAGGTTTAAAACTGGTTAAATAAACCAAGAAATATTATTTCCAGAAACTTAATAAAAAGATAAAGTACTAGAACAGTAATTGGAAGAACAATTTTTTGAAATGACAAAAAAACATTAGAAAAAGAACAATGGTAAAAGTGAGGGCATGGACAAGGGAAAAAAAATGAGAACCAAGACCTGTCATGTAAAGGTCCAAGATCCCAATGATGAATGTAATTGTACTGTATACCTAAAATGTACCAATAAACTCAATAAAAGAAAAAAAAAGAACAATATCTCAGTAGTCCTCGAACTTGAATAAGCCCTAAGTTATTTTAAATTGTTATCCTATTTTTAAGTTAGCTTCTATCTTTTAATCATAAATATCAATGGTTAACCTCACAAGTCCTTTTCTTAGAGAAGTTGTAGAATATCTTAAACATTCTGAAGAAAAATATATAACTATAGAAAAATCCAGAGTAAAAGATGGTAATTATAAAATTAAAGGCAAAAACTAGTAAAATAAGAGAGGATCGACAGAACTTAGGAATTTAGGAAGTCGTTGAGGTTAAAAAGGCAGAAAATAGTATTAGAAATGGTAAAAGGGATCAAAGCCCATATTCGACAGATTTTTATTATAAAGGGTGGTGGAGAAAGGGGAAGGGATATAAAAATAGCTATTTGTTATATCGCCTTGGTAAATGTGATTATGTACTACGAACTTGTACTAATAAAAATAGAAATGAAAAAAAGGTTTTTAAAAGAACATTATGGATTAGTATGCTATCATCTACTTCTGGCCAAAATGTAACAGTAAGTATTTACTACCCTGAAACAAGTAAAATACCAGACAAAACATGAAACAAACAGGAGACATCAGGTAGTGGGCAGTGTGACTTGTGAAACAGGCAACAAATTAGTTGAGAAGCTATGTGTACTTCACTTTACTTCCTGTGAACTTCAAGACTGCAGGGTAAAGCAGAGAAAGCCTGGGAGACCTTAGAAATCCCGAGGTAAGGGAGAGTTGTGAGGCTACGTCAGGACAAGCAGGTTTCGCTGGAGAAACTTATTACCCAAGTTAATAGGGCCACACAGACTGTCCCAGAGGTCCCGGAATCATCAGCTAGGTATCTTTGACCTTGTGTGACCAGTATCCCAGGACATTAAAAGAAGCCCCTTTGCCTCAATTCCAAGGGACAAAGGGAAATAATTGTTTTAGAGCTCATACACGACCAGGAATATTTTGGGTTCCATCAGTTTAAATGGCATGAGTACTTATAAAGGAGTGGCCTCAGGAGAAAAACACTGTCCTGTAACTCCTTTCCAGTTTAAAAGCAAACCTGTACAGTTATTTTCCCCCAGTGCTTACCTGCAAAGTGCCAATTCCACACCCCAGCTACTGCAATCAGTGCTGTACTAAACATGGGAATGCAGGTGTCCCTCTGGTGTGATTCTTTTCCATGGCCTGTTAGATGTATACTCAAGGACTGGGCTCAGTGTCATTAGCCTTCACCAAAGTGAGAATCAAAACCCCAGTGAGAAACCATCTCATATCAGCTAGAATGGCAATTATGAAAAAGACAAGAAACAACAAATGCTGGTGAGGATACGGAAAAGACTGTTGGTGGGATTCTAAATTAAATATAGCTAGTATAGAGAACAGTATGGAAGTTTCTTCAGAAAGCTGAGGACAGAGCTACCTATGAACCTTATCTCTATTTTGTCTGTTAATGACTGTTAAAATGTAATTACTGTGATTGCTGAAGCAGTTGAATATTGATCCACCATCTTGTTATTTGTTCCTTCTTCCCTTCTCTTTTGGTCTTTTAACTCTTTTCTGCCTGGTTTAAGTATTTTCAATGGTTCCATTTTATCTAGTTTGTTGGTTTTATAAAGTAGATGAAAAGTTAACCAATAATGGCATCTTTCTTTGCTCCCTGTTGGGAATAAATGAAATCATAAGTGGAAACAAAAAATCAAACACACATTTATAGGCATATACAATTGTAAAATAGCATTTTATTATTTTTAACATATTGTTGTAACATTTCATAATATTGCATAATATTGTATACTGCTTGAGTGTTGGTTTAGTTAGGTAAGAATATCCTCCCCTCAGTCAGGATTTAAAGGCATATTACCCTTCCAGAGTCCTATTATATTGGTTCCTAACATGTGACATTTCATAAAACAGTAATGCTATGAACTAAAATATAGGTTAACAATTTGGTTTCACAGTTTCACAATTGAGTAACCAGCAGATTGCTGAATTTAGAATACCAACAAAACTTCATTACAATTTTTTTATATTTATTTTTTTTCACAATCCTTTGTAAGAAGAAAAAAAAGGCAGAAGTAATAAATGCATTTAGTTCTTTACCCAATAAATCTATTTTTAACTGCAAATAGGTTTTATGTTACCAAAGGATATATTATTTCTGTGCCAGCAGATTTTATTATTTTTTAATCTTTTTCTTATTCTGGTGTTACCAATAAGTGAACAAATGACACTAAAAATTAGTGAAAATAATATTTTTAAATGAAACTTACAGTTAAAAAAAAAGCTAGTGAGTCAAATACTTATAAATATAAAACAAACATGATCGTACAGGTTAATTCAAATTCAGACAAAATATACCAAATTAAGAAATGGACCCTTTCTTTCCTAGCATTTGCACAAATGTTGCAACTGAAATCCCCTTTATGACACATTTTTATTTCATTTGGCACAGTTTCTCATGGATGTAAATACTATAAATCTTTACAAAGTTAAAAACATTTTTTTCACAAGGGCCAGTGAAGATTAATGAAAATACATTGGGAGCATTTTGAGGGGTATACTAGAAAAGCGTAGTCATTCTGAATAAATAAAAGCAGTGTTTCTTAGGCTTGACCCAATAAAGTTTTTCACTAGGCCTGAACTGGTCCAGTCCTCTTTGCATTCAAATCTAATCAAATTAATTTTTCAAGTAAAAGATCCAAGAAATTAAAGTTTGTATTTAAATGTTTAAAGGTATGGTCATATTCTATACTTATGAGATAGAACATTTGTTTTACTGGCAAATATTTTAAAATCTCTCTTAAGAGGTAGTTCTGTGTGTTCCTGCATATGCACAAACACATGTATTATTTTTCCTCTATAAGAACTATATTTTTAATGATTTGGCTTAAAGATTACAGTGACTATAGGGTCCTCGAAAGCAGGCACAGCTGGTTAATATATCAATTATGGTGCATTATCCTGGTCAGTTGCTATGAAAAAGTGGAATATCCTGTTACCTGATTCTCAGAACCATATGCAGCATAAAAGTGTCTATCTGATAAATTCACAATCAACTTGGTAATCTTAAATAGAACTACCCTGTTTTTCAAATAACATAATACAAAAGAAAACCTTTTTATGCTCAACTATATAACTTCCACTACTATAAGAAGTACACACATACAAACCTCTAAATAACAGAATAATAAAGGATTGGCAGCTGCAGTCAGCATTACAGACACCATGTAACCCTGGATTGAATAGCTTAGGTTTAAGTGTCTTGCCTAAAGCTTAGTTTCATGATATATAATTTACAAAGTCATACTATTTAAAGTATCCTATATACACTTTTCTTCTTATAACATGCCTCTAGATTTCCAGAAGAAATTATGATAAATGCTATCATAAATGAAATCTTTTTTTAACAGAAGAGACTATGAATCTTACCAAAATTGTTTAGCTCCCATCTTATCAGAGTTGCAAATTAGAAGTTGAATACATATTCTAGGTATTTAATTGGAAATGTAAATAGCCTGCATATAACTATAAATTAAATACTTGAGTTCCACAGTGCCTCTCCTTAGAAAATTCTATCAAGCACAGTACTGGGTGAGAAGCGTAGACAAATACATATATGTGTAAATAAATAAATTATATATATATCTATACATACACACACACACACACACACACACACACACACACACATATATAGATAGATAGATAGATAGATAGATAGATAGATAGATAGATATAAATTTTCTATTGAACCTGCCTTTCAAACTTTCATAGTCTGAAAAGGATTTTGCTGTTAATTCATAACACACATTATATTAACCAATCTGATAAAAATGTAATCTAGTGCATAATAAGCAGCAGTATGACCCTCTTGAGTATGACCAAAAGAAAAAATCCTCATAAAGATTTCAACCATATTAAAGAACCCTTAACAATTTTCATTAATATAGTCACTTACTATCCAAACTTTAAAAGCATTCAATAGTTTAATACATAAGGTGATTTTTTCAGAAATACTTTTGACATTCAAGTACTGAAATTCATTATTACAGAGAGTAAAACTTTACTGCTCTGAAAAAGAATTACAGTATTATTTAATGTATGCAGCACAATTACAGATTCATGATAATATCTCTGCCCCAATGCTTTTTTAGATGAAGAGTGAATAAAACTATTTCAAAAATGGTACATTTGGTTGAAATACAAAATACAGTACTATAATAGCATTTATACTTTAAAACACAAATATGTATATTTTAATCATTTTAATATGTTCAATATTTAGAACAACTTCTTTCAATTGCCACATTTTAACTGAATATCAATACAATGATTCTTCTAAGTTTTCCAAATAAATTTTACAGGTTTTCTGTTGCAATTTTTTAAACAAAGTATAACCTATAGCACAGTGATTTATAATTTATGGTAATAAATATTTTTACATTTTAATTTAGCTCTTAATTATTTCATGCTTCTGAAGCTTGTTTTAATTTTTGCTTCAAAATAGAGGTAGATTTAGTAGAGAATGGGTGTCAGACTTACAGTGAAAATGCAATTATAAATAGCTGTAATGATATTGTGCACTTTCCAAAAATACATGGAAAAGATTCAGAACCATTACGCAACACTTCATCAGTTCTCCTTTTCAAGTTTCAGATAAATAACTGCATAATGTATTTATTCACAAATAGATAATCCCAACAAAAAAAGACATAAATACAATCACACTAAAGCAACAACGAAACAGCTTTAAAACAAAATGTTGCACCTGAATGGAAACTTGTTTCATTTTGCTTCTAAAAAGTGCATCAAATTTTTCTTTTCTGTCCTATGCTAAAAGAAGTCAAATATTCTGTCACTAGCAACAAAGAAGAGATAATCTGAAACAACTCTTTTACATTAATTTGTTCCCCACCAAATTAAAGCTGAAGCCTTCCATTGGTGCTTCCTGCTGATGAAATACAAATTGCTGTTGGCTTTCATCCACCTGAGGTACAATGCTGGGGTCATCTTCTTCAACACCAAAATAATGTTCAATCAGATCAAAAGCCTTTTGGTAAATTTCCTGATTTTCATGGCTTTGCAGAAACTCAATTTTATCCAGACCTGTTAAAGAAAGCACATATATGACAAATTATTATTACATTTTCAGTATATATTTAAATCAAAATAATAAATCAACAGCATCCATTACTCCATTAGCAATGGACTGCAAATTAACTTTTGCACACACGAATAGCTAAGATGTAGGTCTTTTTCTTCAAGAATGGCTGTGTAGTATAGGAAAGTGATGCTAAGGCCTAGTACTAAGAGCTCACAGACCCAACCATCTTGTTAGCCTTGTGATCCTGACCATGTTTACTCAATTGCTCTGTACTTGAGTTTCCAGTTGTAAAATGAATTTTAGAATAAGGAATTTCAAAACTCCTTTCCAACCTGGGTGTGGTGGTGCCCACCTGTAATCCCAGCACTCTGGAGGCTCAGGCAGGAGGAACACTATGAGCTTGAAGACAGCCTGAACTACATAGTGAGACCCTGTCTCAAAAAAAAAGTCCTTTCTAGGATATTTATGCTAAACAACAAAGCAGAAATAGGGAAAGTAAGTAAACCAATACTGAGCCAGATAATGTGAATATGGAACAAATGTAAATTATATGAAAGTTCATGACTTTTTTCACAGCAAAATATTACACATGGCTACTATTTGATTAAAAGTATAGCCTGTAAGTGAAACTGAAAAACCTCACTCTGAAGAAATGAGGAGGATCTATAACATGCTATTTTATTGTTTAGAAGAAAACGTTCTACACATTAAGTCTAGGTTAGTGATGGGGAACCTTTTAGAGAGACTGAGTGCCAAATTGCAACCCAAAACCCACTTATTAATCACGAAGCACCAACACTGCAATTAAACCTGAATACCAAGGTTTTAGTTTAGAAAAAACAACTCATGCATCAACATCTTTTTGTCTTAAAAGAAAAACATAATAACGTGTGTCACAGGTTTACCACCACCAGTCTAGGTAATGTTGAAATACATTTCATTTAATTACACAGCCACTTCAATATGAGTGTAGAATGAGAAAGAATAAGCAAGGCAGTCATATCTTATAGACAAGAATAACATAAATATCAGTGACAAGAATAACACAAACATCAGTGTATGTCGGGGTCAAAATAATGACTGTGGTAAGGAAAATATTCTTAAAACCAGTGATTAGTATGTTATGTTTATGTAATGTTTTAATCAGCAACAAATATAATTAGAAATAAAAACAATGTGACAGCCCGGGTTTCACAAAAAATCATAAATAAAAATGAATCAGCATACAGTATAAGAGGACTTAAAATACTTAACGCAGAAAAGTATTAATACAAATAATGTACATGAAAAAGCTATGTAGATTCATACTTATCCTAAAACAAATTCCTTTTGAGTTAATTTAAATATTTTAAGGATCCAATCAGAAAAATCTGGCCAATAAAAATAATTTTTTTTCACTACATCTCCATGAGGACAATAACTTTATAAACTGAAGAAACAGGAGATCCATTTACTAAATATAAACAAGTATAGTTTATTTTATTAAACTAAAAAAATTAGGCCGGGAGAAAAGCTGTATCAAAAGTAACTATAAAAATTCAAATTTTTATAAAACATTCAAATAGGTGAGTAGGTAAGGTATAAATATGTGATTTTGATTAGGAATACAGTAATGCATGGAAAATATATACCACACTGTGAAATAAACCAAGAAATAAAAAAAAAAATGCAATCTGGTCATATCAGCTCACATCTGCTCAAACAAGCATGAGGCTGTGCAGCATATTCACAAGGCAAGGGAGTAGTGACTTGTCAGCAACAGGCCTTGGAAAGCAAAGTGAGATGTGCCAAAAACAAAGTCTGCCCCCAGGACCCTCAAAGTGCATCCCAAAATACTAGTTTAACAGAAGAAGCGAATTTATATGCTGAAAGATGCATATTTTGGTATATAAAAAGGAGTAAATAATTGGAAACAAACTATTGGTCAGCTATAAGTGTATGGCTAAGACTGCACATGGTACAGCTGAAAGCACATACAATGTTCCTGTGAGATAACATATGGCTACTAAAATCGTCAAAATATGGAGAAATGTAAAATTTCTACAAAATGTTACAAAGTACAAGACAAAAATAGACATACTATTATTAAACCAATATAAAGCATTTACACATAAGGATAATGCAAAAAAATGTTAAATCATGAAAATAAGGTAACAGAAAACATTTTAAAAATTACAGTGCTTTTTATAACAAATTTTTTTTTTTTTTTTTTTTTTTTTTTGGTACCGGGGATTGAACTCAGGTCCTTGCGCTTGCAAGGCAGGCCACGGAACCGCTGAGCTAAATCCCCGGCCCTACAACAAAACTTTTTATGGAATCAAGGAAAAACTGGCTAAAGGCAGATCATTAAGAATTGATTTATTTTAAATTCGTAACTGACCACTTACCATATGCTTCCTCAATGAGAGCACAGTATGGATTAATGCCAACTCCATTCTGCTTAGATTCTTGTTTTCCAAGACGTAATATATTTTCAAGTCCATTTAAAGCCACTTGAACTATTTTGGAGTCCATAACAGTCAAAAGATCACAAAGTGGTTTAATGCAGCCTAAGGCTACCAAATACCTTCAAATAATTTTTCAAAGAGAGAAGTAAGGAACAAAGATTTAAAATGACTTTAAACACAATAACAGTGATACAAAAATATTCTTCATGATGAAATGTTTATATAAACAATTGAGAAAAGTATTCCTATAAAAACTTAATCATTCCCGGGCTGGGGATTTAGCTCAGCGGTTCAGTGGCCTGCCTTGAAAGCGTAAGGACCCAAGTTCAATCCCCAGTACCAAAAAACAAACAAACAAACAGACAAAAAACAACTTAATCATTCCGAACATTTAAATTTTTATTTAAATAAAGAAGAAAATAAAAGAATAGAAAATAAGATAAATCTTTAGCATATGAGAAGGTAATCCAGAGGTGGAGGGAGGGGAGGGATGTAAGATAAAAAGAGGAGGGAGGGTTCTGTCGTGTGCATGTACCCACTATATGGAACATATCATTTTATACTACAAATGAATAGATATATAATATGTGTGTGGGGGGTTTCAAGAAATGGAGGGGAAGGGGGGCAAGGAAAGGGGATTAAAACAGAATTAAGAATGTCATATGTCATATATATGTACCAAATATCCACCATGAATGTAATTATTATGTACTACAAAGACGTATCAAAATAAAATATGACTTTGAAAACCTGTATTCTCTTATTCTAATTTAAAATAAAATTATCAATAATCCTAATGAGATAACTGACAATATGAAATAGGAAGAAAAGGGCTAAAGGTGTAGGGAAAGTGGGAAGGGTACAGAAAAGGTAATAAGGGAACAGAAAAATATGAGAAAATGAAAAAAATGGAAATAAAAATGTTTGTAAATGTGGAGAGGAGGAGGGGGTGAAGGGAGGGCGGGGACAAGGGGAAAAATGAGAACCAAGCCCTGTCATGTAAAGGTACAAGATCCCAATTATGAATGTAACTACTGTATACCTAAAATGTACCAATAAACTCAATAAAAAATTAAAATAAAATGATTATCAATAAATAGTATTGCAAATAAGAATATAAATACAGGCACAGTGGTACTTGGATCTATCTGTTTGTGTATACAAACACTGTAACAAACATACAGTGCATACAGACACTGTAAGACTGGGTTTGCTGTGGGGGGCTTTTTAAAAGAGCTATATACACACTGAGTGGTCACATGAGGCTGAAGAAATGGAAAAGGAAAAGGACATCTGAATTAAATTCAGGAAATTTCACACAAAAGCAATCACAGCATTCACTGTGTTTCACAAGTACAGAAGACCTCTAGGAATAAAACAGGCCATGTTGTAATGTTTATGAATAATGTTCACAAAATACTCCATTTCCTAATGCTGTCCCTTTTCTGTTATTAGTTGTTTTCACACTTTCTGTAAGTTCATGTTAAGCACAAGAGTCAAAAACCTCTCTCACAGCTATGAGGGTAAAAGAAATACAATCCATAAAAGCAACTGACACCCACTGATACCTCCATAGCTAAAATGAGTGGCTCAGGCACTGAACAATCACCTGTGGTATGTACGCTGAAGATACCTGAGATCAAGAAATTCTCTTTCCGAATACAGAGTGAATGGTTTGAAAGATAATCAGCTTTGTATGGACAATTGATCCATAACAATAAGTATGAGGAATACTATGTGGAATAGATGTAATCATAAAAATATCTTTTTGTGGTACTGAAAAATAAAGTGAAAAAATATAACTTTACAGATGGACAACCTTTCAACCAAAAGCAGACAAAAATAACAGGAGCATTAAAAAATATACAAGAAAACAAATATTTTGTTTCATTACTGATACTCATGACACAAATGAAGTAGAAAGATTGACTAAAGCAATGAGAAAGGATAAAAAATGAAAAGCAGACATTAGGGCCCAGTGGCACATATCTAATCCCAGTACCTGGGAGGCTGAGGCAGGAGAGTTACAAATTCAAATCCTATGTGGGCAATTTAGTGAGATTCTGCCTCAAATTGAAAAATTAAAAGGGCCGGGGATGTAGCTCAGTGTTCAATCCCCACTGATGCAAAAGAAAAAAAAAATCATAGAAAGATGACATCAGTATATACAATACAATATACAATCTGAGGTACAAATGAAAGCATTAACAGTGATCTAACAATAGGGAGATTTCAAAATCCTGGATTTGTAGGATAATATTCTAACTTGGCTCCTTTTGTTTGTTTGTTTTGTTCTAATTTTGAGATATAGTCTTGCTATGTACTCCAGGGTGGCCTGAGCTCACTGTGTAGCCCAGGCTGGCCACGAACTTGGAGCAATCTTCCTAAGTGCCAGGATTACAGGTGTTTGTCACCAGGCCAAGCTTGTTTCTTGTTTTATCAATTTAAAAAATCAAATAGTCATTAGAGAGTATTTCCTAAATAGTCACTTCAAGAAATGTAAAAAAACTTGAGTTTCACTGAGAAATATTCAGAATAAGATTCTGCAGGAAGTTGGACTTTCATTAGAGGGGAATGTGGAACCTCCCTACAGAAGATAAAAAGACTGAAAGTACATGCTAGAAAACAAGAGCAAGGAATCAATGCTGATAAAAATTATCATGATCACAAATAATGCAATTGTAGCTAACTTTAGTTGAGAGCTTAATGTTTAGACACTGTAGTAAAATATACAAATTTCACAAGTTAATATGTGTTACTAAATGCAGTTTTAAAAATGAATATACTGACAAGAGAGGTTCAGTGACATTGTCAAGACCACATAACTTTTTTAAAAGAACAAGACTTTTAAACCAGGCTGATCTAAATGCCCATTTAACTACTACTTATGTTGTCAGTAAAATAAACAATAAAAGGCCTACATTCAAAAAGCTAATATATAAGAAGAGATAACCAGTATAAAGAAATGAAAGTGACATCCACTGGTAAGGTTAACAACTGATTAGGAGTAGAACATCTCTAAATAAATAAATATTTCAATTTATTTTTAATAAGACATTAAATTGTACTAGTCATTTCTATATATTCAAGTTAAACAATTCTTTTACTTTAGTTTTTTAGAAGACATCTAATGCCCATAATAGTTTTGTGCAAATTAACATAGGCTATTCCCTGTTCAGATTTTTAGTCTCTATCCTGCCATGGAGATTATTAGCTAGAATTTAAATTTAAAATTTTAAAAACTACTAAGAATGAACAAATAACAAATGCTGTTATTTCATATTTAAAATGCCTATCAGGGCCAGGGATCTAGCTCAGGGGTTCTGCCACCTGTCTCACAAGCACAGGTCCTGAGTTCAATTACTGGTACCCGCCCCCCAAAAAACAAAATACCTATCAAACTGATATAGAACTGATACTTCATCAATTTCAAACAGTTTCATTTATACTTAAAGAGAAGTTTAAAAAACTATCACCCCTTAAGAAAATGTAATTATATTCAAAGGAGTACTACTCTGCCATAAAGAAGGATAAACTTGTGACATTTTTTGACAGATGGATGCACTTCAAGATCATAATGTTAAGTGAGGGGAAGGGATTTAACTCAGTGGAACCATGCCTGCCTCGCAAGCTCAAGTTCCTGAGTTCGATGATTCCCCAGTACTCAGCGGGGGGAGCATAATGTTAAGTGAAACAAATCAGAAAAATATTGCATTGTTTCCCTTGTGTGAGAAATCCAAAGGGTTAATAAGGAGCAAAACAGAAGATAGACATTGGGAAGTAAGAAGAAGATGTTCAAAGGGCAGGGGAGCAAGAAAAGAGGGAGGAGGGAGGGAAGGAATTGAAAAAAAAAAAAAAGAATGGGAGGAAAAAAATGGAAATGGAAATAAAACTTTTGTAAATGTTCTGGAAGGGGAAGGGTTGAAGGGGGATGGGAAAAATTAAGATATATTATATACAGGTACAAATTCCCTACGATTAATGTGATCATTCTGTATGGCAAATATAAACCATACTAATAAAAATTTAAAATATAAAAAATGAAAATGGTATTTTCTGTAAAAAAACAAAAAACAAAACCCTGCATCACACCTTATTTGATCTGAAGTCCCTCCTGAGGTTGCATTAGTTATTGCCCAAGTTGCTTCCTTTCTGGTGCGAAACTCTGCTTTCTGAAGAATCTCAATCAAAACAGGAAAAATACTTGCATCTATAATAGCCTGAGAATAAGAAAAATGATGAAGCATAGCCAGTGCAGAGTTTTTAAAATACTGTCAAGTATAAGAATACTGAAACTGAGTGACTTCACAATACCAAGGCTTCTGGAATTATCTTTGAAAACACTTTATGCCTAATCTGTCAGTAAACCTTCATGTATTTTTCTTTTTTAAAAGGAAAATTAGTTTTTTAAATAATGGTGGGCTATAATTTTAAAGATGATAAAGCACAGGAATATGACTGATCAAAATGGATAAGCACTCACTGACTTAATGAGCTTGACAAAACTCTCATAAATCAATGAAAATTCTAAAAGGGAGATCATTGCCTAATTTAAAACTAATGAAGGGCAGTTCCTTTCTAAAGATTAATCACTACATGTTGGGTACTATGTGAGGTTATGCATATAATACTCACTACAATACTAAAGATAAATGTTACTAAATACTTTTTAGGAATCTATTTTTTAAATAATCTTTTTAAATAACTCACTGAAATACATCACTGATAAATGCTGACTCATGATACACTGGCATCGTAAGACAGTCTTGTTCTAGTCTCAGAATGTTACCTGGATCTGAGCTCTGTTTCCAGCAGTTATGTTAGAAATAGTCCAGCAGGCTTCTTTTCTAATTGACTCCGGCCCTACTTGTAAATATTATTTGTCATACCCATGAGATAAGAATAACAACAGTAACAAGAACAAAAAAAGGGAAAGAGGATATAGAGAAGAGAGAGGGAGGCAGGAGGGAAGAGAAGGCAGATTAGAAAAGAATCAAGCACTATCATGAGCTATTTTTTTTCCTCATTGAGTTTATTGGTACATTTTAGGTACACAGTACAGTTACATTCATTATTGGGATTTTGTACCTTTACATGACAAGTCTTGGTTATCACTTTTTCCCCTTGTCCCTGCCCTCCCTTCACCCCCTTATCATGAGTTATTTATTTGTGGTACTGCGAATTGAACGCAGGACCTTGTGCTTGTGAGGCAGGCATTGTGCCACTGAGCTAAATAAATCCCCCACCCTTCAACTTGTATTGTGTACAGGTGCCCACTCCTCAAATGATTGTGAAGTGCAGGTACTTCAAACATGTACTAATAAAAATAAATAAAAATTTAAAATACAAGCCCAATTTCTAATACTTAATCTCTCACCCTCAGCCATAATATAACCATAAATCTAATTCTAAACCTCAACCAAACAAAATCTCAACAAAAACCTCAACCTAACCTGCATCTTGCTCCTTCATCCTAGGCCATATCCTCACCCTAACTCTAAAGGAACTTTGAGGATGTGACTTCACTTCCTTGGTGTTAGAACCCAACAAACCTTGGAACTCTGGTAACCAAGCACCCACACTTTGAAACTGTCTCCTGTGCTGATCACTTGGAGGGAGACAGTCAAGCGGAGAAGATGAGTTGTTGCTGTTTTCCCACTTTCTGAAGGTCTAGCCACAAAAAGGACCAGAATCCAAGCCTTTTCAGGTCTTGGCTCAGCTCTTGCTGCAGATGTTTCCAGACAATGTTCAGGAGGAACCCACAAGTAAGACAGGCAGCCCAGGGCCCCAACAGGCGGCCAGCCCCACCCGTGACTCCTATGGGCAGTCCTTCACCCTTGGGCTCAGGCTATGTGAGGGGGCCTGCTTGGACAGGGGCAGGCTGTTAGGTGTCAGAACTCTGTCCTGTCCACCCCACTTCATGGCTGCAAGTACAGCAAACAATGAGGACTACTAGTACACGGATCACTGCAGTCTACTTTGTCTGCTCAGAGGTTAGTCCACTGATCTTGAGCTGTGATCTTACATCTTCTCTGCCTGAAGATTATATACATTATATACACTCTATGTACCCCGATTTGGAGAGATTCTCTATGGAGTGTGCTCGGTGGGGACAGCCAGGAGGGGCAATGACAACTTTTGGCCCAAATGCTGGGCATTCTCTTTGCAGAGCTCCATGTAGATCACCAAGGAGCCTCTTGACAACTCTTCCTCCTGGAACCAAAGGCAGCAGCACTGTAAGACCAACAGTGGCCCATGTTCGTCTAGGGTGCAAGTGAGCATGGTAGGGTCTCTACAGGTGAGGACTCAGCACAACCAGCGTGGGCCCAGGACCAAGATCCAAGAAAGGGGACCCACCTGGGTGGTGTCCTAGGGCCTTACCATAGGAATGAGCTGCAGTCCCATCCCCAAACAAACCTGGCCTTCGTTATTTATTCCCCCTGAAACGCAAATAGGTGCAAAGTTCCATATCACATATTCACAGAAATATCAGAGAAAACATTTTCTGAATCATTTCCCTTTAAACCAAGCCATGAGTGTCCTGGTTTAGTACCACTGCTTTTAACCAACTGCTCTAAGTACCCCGTGTGCAGTAAATTCCAATGCTCCTTGAGGCCTTCTACAGATTTCAACTCTCACAAGGGAGGTTCCACAAAGAGTGCCAGTTACACACGCTCACACACACACAAAAATGTGCTAAGCTACTCTGCACCCGTCAGCAGTGTCATCTCCGGAAGAGGTGACTGTAGCCCCACCAGGTCAGCAGCGGTGCCCTCACATGGCTGCATAATATTCCAATACGAAAGGTAAACTCTGGCAGAAGGCCATCCTTCTACTACCGGTGGGATGAGGTGGGACTTAACTCCATTCCATCTCGGCCGTGAGGCAGAGTCTGTGCGTGACCCAATAGGAGGTGTCAGTTTTCCAAGGCTGTCAGAACACAACGGCACAGAAGTATATTTGCTCACAGTTCCAGAGGCCACATGTCAAGGTGCTTGCCAGAATGATTTCCTCTGAGGCCACCCTGGCATCTCCCAACATCTGTGTGAAAGACACACAGGGAACTGGGGCTTCGGTAACTGATTCTCAAGACTCCCCTTAACCTAACCTAAGGGAAAACAGCAGTGCTGCTTCCGTCAAAAGGGTTCTCCTGGGCCAGGGATGTAGCTCAGTGATGCTGTGCCTGCCTGGCAAGGTCCTGAGTTCGATCCCTGGTAACACACACACCCACACACACACTCACAGGTTCTCCTATCATTTTGGCCCAGGCTCTGTCCTCACGGTGGGGAGGAAAGGCAGCTTCCCCAGACCTTTCCTGTCTGTGTCAGGGGCAGACCACACATCAAGTGCCTCAGGGGGAAGTTCATACACTACTAGCTCTGGTGTTTCTCACTTCTGACATGTGTGTCACTGAGCAGACACTTGTCATCCAGAAACATTGGTTTTCTCATCTCCACCCTGGGGACATTTCTGAGGACTCAGTGGGATAATCTCTTCGTGCAGATTATTAGGGAAGGCAGGTGCTGCTGCTCCACAGCTAACGAAATACCTTAAAGATACTTTGAAGATACTATTGTTTATCCTTCTCTGGCCTCACATTGAATTCCATTTTGAATCCTTGTCATGAGACACACCTGCCCTCTCTAGGCACAAACATGAGCACTCGAGTCCTCCTCGTCTGAGCTCCAGATCCCAGGCCTCTGGTGGTTCAGGGTGTGTCTCCTTGTTCTCTCTAGTGTGGAAATGAATCCACCCTGAACCTGGAAGAGGCCTGCATGATGCGAACACTCCAGGCAGGCACACAGCAGCAGTTGGTGGGGTTGCTGGTGCCATCCTCCCCAATGAGACCAATCTCGTACTTCACCACCTTCCTGCGTTCATGCTGGGACTTTGACATTGTCCCATATTCTGTGGCGAAGCTCTTCAGTGGGTGAGTGTCTATCCCCTCGCACTGTGTTTTGGAAATGTCACTGTAGCTCTTCGGACGCCGACGTCCTCCTCTGAAAGTGGGGTGGTAAGGGGATAAGGCTCACAGGGTTTTGGCAGGGATAAACGGGCCTAAGACGTGGCAGGCTGGTACCCACTGCCTCCGTCTGTACACAGGGTTCTGGGCAGGCTGTCCTTCCTCTATTTTTTTTCTCTGTTACTCCACTGAAGAACTTCTCTGCCCCGTGCCTCAATACCACATATCCATCCACGTTTAAAACACATGCAAAAAGCAGATATGATTTCCAGCTTCCAAGGGATCTTTAGGTTTTATTCTAGCTGGTATTTTTCCTGTAGGCAGACTAAGCAAGGGAGCCTTGTGTGCAGAAGGGAAGCCACATATTAGGGAAAGGCATCTGGGGGGTGAATGCACTCAATCTGTGACCACATAACCTTTGTGTTGTGCAGGGACTTCTCTAGATTCATAGCCCAGTCCTATGAACAAAGACAATAACTACCGGGCCGCAGCTCTATTCAGGGAGGCAGACAATCCCCGTAGATTTCACAAGACACAGTCCAGGACCAGTTATACAGTGGGTGGACCCTCAGAACACAGGAGTGGTCAGAAATGGGGGATGGATATGAGGCCTTCGGCTGAGGACAGAAGGACAGGACCCTGGAGCTCACAGATCTGGTGATTACTACAGGAGAGACATGGTCTTGGGGCTTCTCTGGCAGGAGGTTAGTCAGATGATGCTAGGGATGGAAGTTTGGCTTCCCTGCAAAGGAGAAGGGAGGGTGGGGCTCAGAGACGGCACCTGAAAGGCTCGTCCTCAGCACACCGGCTCTCAGTGTGGCCTGTCCTCCTCCACACCGACACACCCATCCCAGCTACAGAAGCAGGGGCCCAGACTAGAGCTGGGATCAGCACACTGCTCTCAAATCTGCCCGGAGCGCAGCCCGGAGCGCTCAGGTGCGTAGTTGTGCCTGCCTCACTCAGAAAGCAATGTGCATATGAAGTGCAGACCCAGACAGTTAAAATTACCGAAGCCAGGACAGTCACAGAGGGCTCGGGCAGGCTCGGCTTGTCCTCTGGACAGAGAGGGGAGGACCAGGCAAGACGAGACGGTGTCTCACACGGGCAGGGTGGAAGCAAAGGCCGGGCCTCTGACTCTGCTGCTCCTCCATCTCTCCCCAGCACCATCGCGCACGTTTTGGACACCCGTCCAGAATGGGTCCATCTGCCGTACATTCCCAAATTCAAGATCCAAGAGGCCCGCGTGCAGGTGAACTCACCTGGAGCAGACGTGGAGCCTCCCTTGCTCCTTCGCCTTGCTCACGGGGAGCATCCAGAGCCCTGCAAGGCAGAAACGGAAGGTGAGGGATGCAGCAGTCTGGAAGGCTTCCGTGGCTTTTGGTTGGGCACTCGGATTCCCAGAACTGCAGGGATGTCTCTTCTGTGCCTGACAGGTCACTGGGAAGTGACTAACACTGCCCAGCTTTCCTCCTTGCAGCTCCTGCTCCATATCCGGAGCAACACGGGCCAGCTCTGCAGCCAGAGCCAGCACCAGAGAAAGAGCCTCCTCTGGAGACAGGAGAGAAGCAGAAGCCAACTCCACAGCACTCCGGTGTGTCTTCTGCGGCTGAGAAGGGCGGATCCCTGCAGAAGGTGCTCTTGGCCTTCTCTCCCAAGCTGCTGGCAGAACAGCTGACCTTGATGGACGCGGTGAGCAGCTGAGCTCTATGGGCCAGGGCAAGGGTAGCCCACTCTTCTGGCACGGACCTTCTCAGTCCTGACATTCCCAGATTACCAGATCAAGGTTCCTCATTCTACAAACTGCGTCACCTCTGCTCATCTCAGCCCCGAGCCACTCCTGGCCTCGTGTGGATGTAGACACTAGGACAGGGCACCCCTGTACCCGCTTCACAGAGCGCCCAGAGGGTCCACTGCGATTGGACAAATGGAACACAGGGTGAGGACTCGGCCCAACTGGTAGAGGAGAGTGTTCACTGAGGTGCAGGCGGGTGCATGTGTCGCCTTGCCACCGTCCCAGGAGACCTGGCCAGCCTTATCACTTTGTAGGCATTTGAGATGCACCAATTCTACAGCAGACCCCCAGACAGAGACCCCAGTCACAGCTGGCACAGGGAATGGGCCAGGGACCTGGAGAAAGGAGCAGAGGGCAGGCGAGGTTGGAAATCAAACAATACCTCAGAATTGGCAGGACGGAGTCCTGTGCTAGTGCTGGAGGTTTGTAAGGATGGACACGGAGAAACTGCCCCTGATTCTCACATCAGTGCCAAGTCCTGGGTCATGACTAAGGCCATCACCCATGGGCAGTAGACAAACCTCAGCCATTTGCAGAAGTCTCTGTCCATATCTACAGCTTCCTGATCTGCAACTCAGGCCACAGCCCCCTGCCTGTTGTCGGATGAAGCCATAGACTCTCTGAGGTGGGTTCTGCCCAGGTGACATTGTCCTCCTCCACAGGAGCTGTTCAAGAAAGTGGTGCCCTGGGAATGCCTGGGCTCCGTTTGGACCCACAGAAACACAACGGGCAATGAACACCTGGAGCCCACCGTTCAGGCCACCGTCACACATTTTAATCTCGTGGCCGAATGTGTGATCACCTCCTTCCTCGGGGACTCCAGCATGAAGGCTAGAGACAGGGCCAGCGTGCTGGAGCACTGGATCCAGGTGGCCAGGGTAAGTGTGAGAGGGCACTGGCCATTTCCTCTGGAGATCTGCCATCTGCCTCTCCTCCATCAGCTCTTAGGATTGTAGGCATGGTCCCTAAGATGCTGTGTGGTCCCTGGTCCCTGCCTGTCGTGGGCACCCTGACCTAGACCCGCCTGTGATGTGGGTGTGGGGGTGCGGTCATCTGACCTGAGCCGCTTCTTTGAGTTTAACTGAAACCTTCCTCCCTGAGAGTGCTGTCGCTGAGGCCCAGTTAGTCCCTTCCACGGCTGCCTGGAGGGAAAAGGCAGCTGAGGTGGCTGAAACTGGAGCAGGCTGAATTCCCATTGTCCCTCCCTCCACACAAGATTCCCTTCCTTCTTTCCTAGGAGTGCCTAAGGCTCAGGAACTTCTCCTCACTGCATGCCATCATCTCTGCTCTGCGGAGCACACCGGTACATCGGCTGAGCAGGACCTGGGGAGAAGTACCCAGGTGAGCCTGGCTTTCTCCATGCCGACACCAGGGCACACTAGGGCCATTCTATCATCATAGATCTGACTCTACCTCCTACAGGACCCCGGAGGGGCTGGGAAGCCGAGAACACAGAGGGTCGTAGTGGCCTTGTAGGTGGGATGCCTGAGCTTCCCTGCCTTCTCAGGCCAGGGTTTCTGTCTCAGGTCATTGCCTTAGTTACTTTTCTCTTTGCTGAGACAAAATACCCGACACCCCAAGTTCAAGTAGGAAAGGTTTAATTTGCCGCAGAGTATGCAGAGTCAGTCTCAAGTTGGCAGGCTCCAGGCGGGGAGAATGGCAGAGGAGCACTGAAGAGGAGAAACAGCGGATGGCAGGGCAGGGCAGGGCAGGCCAAAGAAAACAAACCAGCAGAGTAGCGAGGATGCAGCAGCAAGCAGCAAGCAACAGCAGCCCTCTTCCTGTCGCTCGTACTCTGTCCCGGGTACATGCCATTCGGGAGGGCAACACTCAGCCAGGGTGGGCCTTCCCATTACGCACACCCACAAGTGAGCCAACCCGTGAGTGGACTAATGCAGTAGGCACACGCCATTGATCCCAGCATGACACGCTCTCGATCCAGCCACCTCTCAGAAGCCTGACCTGTGACCACATGGGGCTTTGAGGGGACATCTAGACACCAGCCATAGCAGTTACTTCACCACCAGGCACAGCTCTGCACGAGTCTGTAAGTGAACACTAGACAGCAACAGAACTGAATCCATAACTGCCAAAACTGCCAAAACTGCCAGTCAGCTGAAACCGGGAGGAGGCCCAGGGGGTCAAATGCAAGGTCCTGTCCCGGTCCGGTGACTCCCTTACGTGCTAATGGATCCCAGTTCGAAACGCTCACTCGGGCAGTCTGTGTCCTTTAGGTTCTCAAATAAAATGAATTTGAACTCACACCTCCTATTATTCTGCAACTCCTCCTCACTGTTTCCCCCTCTCAAACAGGAAAAGCTTCCCAAATTTCAAAGAGTTGTGTGCCAAGGACAGTGCAGAGAGCAGGAATCTGCGCACGAAGGTAAACTGGAGGCTGGGATGGGGGCTGAAAGTGTTTGAAGCAGAGAGAAAGGGGTGAATTTGGAAGAGATTCTGTGCCAGATGTGGTTGTTTTCCTCACTGAAAGCTTGAGAAATTCCAGTTGTGTCTCCTGGAATCATAGCAATGGCTGTATTTCTGCTTCACGAGGCAGAAGGCTTGGGAGCACACGAGGCTTAAGGGATGTCACTGGGCTCTTCAGGAAGGGTTCATGAGCGTCCAGGAGCAGCGGGTCTCTGGCTGCCATGCTGGTCCCTGCTGCTGGAAAGTAGCTTCCCCCATGCACTTGGGAGGCTGTGCTAAGGCTTCCGTACTCCAGCACTTAAGCCCCAGAATGTTTTAGGAAATCAGGGCCTGTGCCTCTTCAGTCTTCGCTCTACCTCTGACACAAGGGAGCACCCTGACTGCGATGGAGAAATCCTGTTGGGACAGGTGTTCCAAGGGCAGCTCAGCTCCTGTCCCAGTGGGTACACTTGGGACTGATTCGTGGGTGTGCTGTCCTTCCCCTCTGCTCCTCTGCGCACACTGATGGGTCTTCAGATTCCTTCTTCAGTGCCCAGTGGGCAGCAACACTGTCTCCCGATGGATATGACAACTACCTCGGGGACTCGGGAATTCAGTAGTGGATCCTCACTGATCAGATCTCAGATTCCGTTTCCCAAGGAATTATGCCATGTCCCTCGGAGCTGACACCTTGGGAGGCCATATTCTACATGGCCCAGCAGAGGCTCTGTCTAAAGGACTCCTTTGGGGGACTCACAGGAGGAGGTGAAGTTGGGCATGGCCTCCAGTCTAGCTGTGGGGCAGCGACTGCAGGTGGTCTGGCACAGGCGGGAGCTTCTCAAACATGCCGTCTGAGGCTCACTGCTCCATTCCACGGTGCATGGGCCTGGACACTCATCAAGAGCCCGAGCATGGGACAGTGGTCAGGGGTGGTGCTGGGACTTGGGCTGAAAGAAGCTGAGACTTTACTTCCAGCTGGCAAGAGGAGCTGGCTTCTCTTACACTGCTCTAGGAAAGTCACTGACTAACCTCAGCTTCATCACCTAGAGAGGGGAAAAATAAGTGAACTGTTCAGGCAGCACAGTGTGGCAAGGAGCAAGAGTTGGGGCGCTTTCTCCTGGATGTTCCCCAGAGTGGTGAAGATGAGAACAATAATTATATAAAACGGAGCCCTCAGGAGATGCTGTGAGGCAGGTGTATGTCGAGCCCAGGAAGCGCATTCAGGGTTGCCAGGCCCCATACCCAGAGCGACTAACCAAGGAAGCATGGGCGCTGGGAATGAATCTACAAGCATATTCGAGTGGCAACAGAGCTATACAAGCGGACAGGAGCCAGATATGCAGGGTCTCCGCTCAGGGAGACAGTTATATAAGGGGAGAAAATTCTCAACCACCCTGTCTGGCCTGGCAGGAGGGACTCTCCAAGAAGGCCACCCTGGAGAACAACCCCCAGAGAGCCCAGATGGTGCAGCAGCAGAAGGGCAAGGTGAGTGTCCGGTGGCAGGGAGGGTTCTGGGAGTCAGAGGACAGGAGAGCCTCCCGTCCTCCCAGGACATTGCCCAGAGAGTGCAGGGTGCCTTCCTCCTCCAGCCTTTCTCTGCTTTGCTGGAGGTGCCTCCACTGGAGAGGCCAGAGGAAGACTTGGAGGAGCTGCACACAGAGCAGATAGGGGCTAGAGGTGGAGATGGGCACACCATCAGGGGATCCACGTTAGTTATGGTGGCACATGCCCGCCATCCCAGCACTCTGGGAGGCTGGGGCACAAGGATCACGAGTTCAAGCCCAGTTTACACAAATCGATGACTTAGCAGGGCCCTGTCCCTAGGTGAAAGATAAGAGAAGGTTGGGCCAGTGGCTTGGTGCAAAGGCCCTAGTTTCAACCCTCGGTATCATAAAAGGAAATCAAGTACCGTGAAGTAAGTAGTGGTGTTTGGTGTCCTAGGAAGCCAGGCAGGAAGGCAGGAGTGAGAGAATTGGAAGGGCTTAGTTTGGTGTCCCAGAGGGGGACAGGAGACACCTGTGTGAAATGTCAGGGGGCCTGACCGGGAGCTGGGCTGGGGACTCATCATTTGCACCACCCATGGCATAGGGCACCATCCCCTTCCTTGGCACATTCCTCACTGAGCTGGTGATGCTGGACACTGCCATGAAGGACCACGTGGACTTCAGTGGCCCTCGGGGAAGCAGTTTGGGGACAGGATCCTGGGGCTTGGAAGGGAAGGCCCTTGTGCTGAACCCGTAGGCGCTGGCACTCAGCAAACCTACTCTTATGAGATCCTCACAACTGCCCTGTGTGCTGGAGCCTTCAGGTCCGTCTTGCCTGGGAATGAAGGACCCTGCAGTGCCCCCAAATCCCTCTTTTCCAAGTCCTGAAGCGGCAGAGCTGCCTTCCTGCAAAGCTGCACAGGGCCTTGCTGAGCTGGACTCAGCCTCTCCTTCAGATGGTGGCCAAGGGAGGAGAGACAAGTGGAGACCCCAAGGCCAGGAAGCACCTACAGGGCCAGTACTCCCTTCCTCTGCGAGGCCACAATTTCCGGTCTGACATCAACGGGCACTTGATGGGAGCCTCAGCTCCCATGGCGTCCTCTCCAGCGCCCAAACCTGACTGGGGACCTCGTCCTCCTCTGTGCACTCCCGATGCTAGTGGGCCCTGCCATGATTCCACCATATCCAAGGGTGGGGAAGGGCTGGCTAGTCACGGTTCGGTCTTTCTCACGCACTCTTGCCATCTGCCTTGCAGGGGAATCTCGTCAACTGTGAGAAAATTACAAAGGTAAGCAGCTGTGTCCCGCAGTTCCACGAGGGCAGGAAGGCAGAATTCCTCCTGGCAGGACGTTCCCTGGCTTCACCCTCTGCATCTTTGCTCCATTGGGAGGGTTTTGTACACACAGAAAGATGAAAACCATCCCAATGAGGTGTGTGCTTAGGGGACTGGACACATGTACAGCCAGCTGGACATGGGGTTGTCTGCACCCAACTCTGAGAGCAGTTTAGAGATCGGGCGGGATTGAGAAGATCAGGGACAATTAAGAAAATCACCCTGTAGACCAGCCCTGGACTCTTCCTGCCTTGATCACAGCCCTCACCTCATTTCCGGTGCAAGCCCTCTCAGTACCCCGTCTGTTCCTCTCGCCCCAGGAAGCCAAAGTTCTCCAGGAGATACAGCTGTTCCAGGTGGCAGCGAGTAAATATAATTTTCAGCGTGAGGAGAAGGTTGAGGTCTGGTTCCACTCGAGGGAGTGGCTCAGTGAGAACGAAAGGTGAGCACCAGGCAGGACTCGTGTGAAAGCCCAGGGGTGGGGAGGCTGTCCCTGGCTCACAGCTGCAGAGAGCCCGTGGCCACAGCTCCATCGTCGTCCACACACCCTGCAGCATGGTGACTGCTGGGGCACCGGGACTCGGGCTGCTGGGCAGGCCCTGGTAGGGAGACTTGAGGTGAGGCTCTCCGTGGGCTCACAGGTTCCTCTCTGTCCTCAGCTACAACCTGTCCTGCCTTCTGGAGCCCCGACAGCGGCGGGACAGCAGCACACTCAGGAACAGGAAGATTTCATCATGAATCTCAGGAACCACTGACTGCCCGAGCTCTCAGGGCCAGGCAGACTCAGCACTCGGGGAAGTCTGGGCTGTGAGCTCCAGAGACAGAGAACTCACTTCCAGCTCCACTCTGACCGGCCTGGGAACAGGGTGGGGCGCCTCGCTGCTCTGCTCCTCAAGGCCCCGTTGTCACTAATTTGATTTGCACATCCAGTGCCTTTCTCTTTTTCACATATCTTTAACTTCTCTAAGCTTCTTGTATTTCTCAGTGTTTTTACTCAAATTAATATAGATAGGTTGGTTATGCATTGTGTTTTAGTCTACTTTGTGATTTTTTCACTATAGGTCAATAGTCTGTGGGTTCCTTGAGGTCAGGTCAGTTGAGATCATTGAATGTATTTCATTTTCTGCTATTAAATTTGAGAATCTATCTGTCCATCTCTCCATGCCCCCATCTACACCACAGCCATGAGATATCTGTACAGCTTGAGGTGGTTGGAAATCCTGCACTGAAGCCAGTTATGTGGAGCTTCCTGCTATTCGCCCGTGATGTTCTGTGATGATGCCTCATCGGGGAGGTGCCCAGGTGGCGTCTGTCTGACTCTCTCCTGCGCTTTCTTGCCTGGCTTTTAGAATTCAGCTTCCAGTCCTCTCGTGCTACAGGTGTCACCCTCTCCTCGCAGTGTTTCCACATTCGTGATGTTTCCTCACGACAGATCCGTTAAATCCTAAGAACACAGCCACAGCATGTCAGCAGGGAAAACGCCTAAGTGTTTATTGTGTATGCTAGATCAAGCACTTTCCACACCTTCTCAAAACTGGGGAGAAGAAAGTATTTCCCAATGTCTTTTAGAGGCACACTATACCCTGGTACCAAAGCCCGACCAGCGTGTACAGGGAAATTATAAGCCAACATCTCTCACAACCATATCAATTCTAAACCCAATACTCACAAGCTAAACTAGGCAGTATATTGTCAGGACCATTTGCATGATAGTGTGGAGTTTCTCCCTGTGATGCCAGCCATGTCTGAATACATTTAAGGCATAAACGTGATGCCACGCATTAACAGAATTAAGACGTACACACCTCAGGGTCATGTCACCTGACTGCAGAAGGAACTCGCGCTCACGTTATGCATCTTTTTATGCTAAATGCTCTAAGCAAATCGAATAGTACGGAATGTAAGTCAACACAACAAAGGTCATTGTCATAAGCCCACAGCTGTCATCACCCGGTGAAAAGCTGAAAGCCTTTAAGGTGAGAAACAAGACAAGGATACTCACCGTCAACACTGCTACTCAGTGCTGGAAATGCACTGAGTGCTGGAAATGCACTGGTGCTGGAAATGCAAGTCCGAGCAATGAAGCAAGAAAAAGAAATTAAAGTCATCCAGATAGAAAACTGCAGAAGAGAAGTTGTCACTTTTCAGACGGGATCAAAAGCTGTTAGAATAAATGCAGTGACATTGCAGGACACAAATCAACATACAAAGTCACTCGTGCAATGCACAAAGGAAGGCAAGAGAACAAAATGGTCATACTTCCAAAACTGATATGTAGGCTGAATGGAATCCCAATCACAATACTCACAGCATTCCTCACAGAACTATAGAAAACAACCCCAAAATTTATATGGAACCAGAAAGCAAAAACAACCCTGGGCAACAAAAGGAGGTAAGAGATATCACCACTGCAGAATTCAAGTTATATTGCAAAGCTACTGGAGTAAAAACAGAAAAACAGAATGGTACTGGCACAAAAGTAGATATATGGATCACTGGAACAGAATACAGAAATTAGAGGGCCGGAGATTTAGCTCAGTGGTTTGGTGGCCTTCCTTGCAAGAGCAAAGACCAGAGTTCAATCCCTGGTACCAAAAAAAAAAAAACTAGAAACAATGTCAGGTACATTCAGCCCTCTGATCTTTATCAAAAGGGCCAAAAACATAAAGAAGAAAGTTAGACTTTTTAACAAATGGTGCTGGGAAAATGGGCTATATGCATGGAAAAGTTTGAGTCTATATCCGTTTTTCTCACCATTTACTAAACTAAAACCAACATGAAGTGAAGATCTAAATATTAAAACAGAAACACAATCTGCTAGCGTATAAAATAGATAAAACTCTTGAAGACATACGCATTGGCAAATACTTTCTAAACAGAACTCCAATGCACAAGAAATAACATCAAGAACCAACAAATGGGATGTACTGTATTAAAAAGCTGCACAAAAAAGGACACAACAAAGAGTGGGAAGATATAACCTACAAAATGGTACCAAGTTTGGGAGCTTCTCCTCTCACAGAGGATGAAAATACAGAACACATAAAGAAGTCAAAAAATTAGACTCTCAAATATAAAAGACCCAGTCCAAAGATGGACAACAGAAATGAATACGCATTTCTCAGAAGTGGTCCGCATGGATGGTAAATGCATGAAAAACTATTCAACGTCTCTGGCTCCTAGAGAAATGCAAATTAAACCAACACGGAGACTCTGTCTCACTCTGGACAGAAGGGCTGCCGTGGAGAAATCAGAGAAAGTAATAACAAATGCTGGAGAATCTATGGGGAAAAGGGATACTTCTACGTTGTTGGTGGGAATGATTTGGGGTTTTTTGTGAGGTTTTGTTTGTTTGTTTGTTTGTTTGTTTTTGTACCAGAGATCAAACTCGGGATCTTGCACTTGGGAGGCAGGCCATTGCTAAGCTAAATTCCTGGCAGTGAATCCCTGACAGTGGGAATGTAAATTAGCACAACCACTATGGAAATCAATATGAAGAATGCCCAGCGTAGTGGTGCATGCCTACAACCCTAGAGGTCTGGAGCTGAGGCAGGAAGACTGCCTTGAGTTCGAGGCCAGCCTGGGCTACATAGTAAGTTCAGTCTGAACTACACAGTGAGACCTTGTCACAAAAAAAATAAAACAGAAATCAATATGGAGATACCTCAAATAGCTAAAAACAGAAATTTTATTCAACCCAGCTATTCCCCTTCAAGATACCCTCCCAAAAGAGTTAAAAGCATCACATTGCGGTGATACACGTATACCCGTTTATAGCAGGACAGCTCACAATAGCTGAACCTTGGAAGAGCCTCTATGTCTGTCAACAGATGAATGGATAAAGAAAATGTGGTACTTACACACAATGGAGTATTACCCTGCCATAAATCAGGATAAACTTGACTGTCCTGGTGAAAGGTTCAGAGGTGCACACAGTGGCCGGCTGGGCATGGGCAGAACAGGGTCAGGATGCATGAAGATACGTTGACCACTCTGAAGATCCTTCTTGTTTGTGACAGTGGAGTAGCAAGTCCAGCCTGCTGTCAAGGTTCACAGATGATACTTTTTTGTTTGTGGGTTGGTTTGTTGTTTGTGGTTTTGGTTTTGGTATCAGAGGTTGAACTCAGGACCTTGCTTGCACTTGTGAGGCAGTTGTGGTGCCCCTGGCCCCACAGATGATACTTTTTATCCAGAACTTGCAACAATATGGGTGTTGATTTCAAGGTGAAAACAATTTCAGTGAATAGAAATGAGGCTAAACCTACAATATAATCAAGAGAGGTTTAGAACATTAATTCCCAGCCACTAGTGTGGTGCACGGGGTGTTATGTTAGCTTATGGTGTTACCTTTGCTACACTGGACAATGGTTAAATGAAATGGAAACCCGTTGTGCCAGAAATGACATAGTAACCGTGCTAGTTGGAAATAAAATTAATAAGGAAAATCACAAAGTTGATAGAAGTCAAGGTCTGAAATTTGCACGAAAGCAATCCATTTTACCTGTAGAGGTTAGTGCAAAAGCATGAGATGGTACACAGTGTGCCTTTGAGGAGCTGGTTGTTTGTTTGTTTGTTTGTTTGGGTACCTGGAATCTAACTTGGGACCTAAACTTATGAGGCAGGTGACAGAACCACTGAGCTATATCCCCGGCCCTTAAGGGCTGGTTGAAAAGATTATTCAGACACTTGGACTGTGGGAAAGTGAGAACCAGAATAAAGGAGCCAAACTATCACACATGGAAGAAAGCCATGGAGAACAGCCTGTATTGTGTTTTAAACTCTGGGAAATCGATCTCTTGCATATTTGATAAGATAGTGAAATCTTTCTGTATGCTATTTTAGGGACCCTGCAGTTTGTACATTTGTTTTATATTATGGCAATAAATATTTGCAAAAAACTCCACTTACTGGCTTTCCAAGGTACAATGTTATAGTAACCATGCACAGTTTGCTTTTCACATATTTTTATGCAACATACAACAGGTGACCCTTATGAGTGCATTTTATTTTATAATTTACATTTATGATGTAATTGTTTGAAAACACCCATCTGCCTAGTATATGTTACTACAAGGTCTTCTTTTGTTCTCTTTTTTGCTTAAATACTCCTATCAATTATTGAATTACTTGTTCTATAGAATTCCTAGAACCATAGGGAGGTAAACAGAGATCATCATCGAACCTGTCAAATCTTCAAGGAGTAACACAGAGCATGATTTCACCACTTTCCTAGGATGTTCAAGATTCTCTTTGACCACTAAGCACAATCTCAGTACGGACAGTAGTCCAGGCCCCTTCGTAACTAAAATTCTACTTGTTCAGATGATGCTTCCAAAACAACATTGGTATATTAAAGAAGTTTGGTATTACCTTTCATTTGTCTTGATTAGCTTGGCTGCTTGTGTGAAGCTTTTATCCTTTAATGGGTATGCTGGATTTGTGTTCCTCTGTGAGTGTTTTTGGTCACATGGCAGGAAGGCAGAATGTCAAGAAAGGTCTCCCACATCTTGGTTTCAGAAAGACATGAATAGCGTGTTGATTGAAATGCCTTTAACACTTAACATTTTTAAAACCAACACTTTTTTCATAAATATTGGTGTGTCACATAATATTTATGAATATCTGTATCTTATGGCTTTCAAAATGGTGATTTGATATTTAAAAACCTATTTCTGCCTTTAGAGGAGTGGGAAAAAATACTAATGACAATTTCAGGTAGGTATATTCCTTCTAGATTGTAGCATGTGGGAAAAATTGTTGTAATGAAAATCTCCATAATTTACTGTAACAAATAACCATTAATTTATTAAAACTAATTTGTACAGACTAATAAATCCTTAGCACACACAGTATTGGGGTTTTTTCAAAGCACAGTAATGTTTTTAAAGAAAAAAAGAGGGTGATAAACTTGAGTGATTTGTAGGAAAATGGGTGCATCTTAAGACCATAATGTTAAGTGAAACAAATCAGACACACATGGTTAAATATCACATGGATTCTTAGGGTTATAAAATTAAAGAGGTAAATAAAAGATAAGAGGAAGCAGGGAGATATATCTTTTGCAAAAAAGGGAACCAGAGAAGGAAGCAAGGAGCAGGAAAGGAGGGATAGATGATAAAAACAGGAATTAAGATGTATTTGCATGTACCAACTCCTTACAATGAATGTAATTATTCTGTACTGTAAGCATGATGTAGTAAAAATTTTAAAACACTGATATTGAGGATGATGCCCATCAGCTATGGATCAGATGTGGTACTAGACATTAAGCAATACTGCTAAGTCATAAGGACAGAAGTTCAAACTCTATAACGGAGCAGAGGGTGTTAATCCTAATAAGGCCGTTGGGCAAGAGACAGAGAGCTGACAAAAAGGCAAGAACAAGTGCCAAGCCTGTTGGAGCAACAGTCCAGACAGCCCCAGTGCCTGTGTTGGCATGTTCATCTTCCTTTTAGTTTGACCCCCACAGTGAAGCTTAGATAATATTTTTATGTAACACTATCTCAAATCTGTATAATTCTTATTAGTCTCAAATGCTACCCTTACTTCTAAACTGCATGTCCAGGAACAAGATTGGCCTTGCCAAGCTGGTGTCAGGTGGGGCAGAGTCTCTCACAAGCTTTCCAGGATCCAGTGGGGCCTCTCCAGGGGCCTTGCTCACTCCCGTGACGAACGCCCTGGCTGTGGAAGGAGACCGCTGCTCCTGCCCATGTGGGCCACGCTCTGCTTAAGGGTCTGGCCCCCAGCACGGCGGCTGGCTTCCTCCAGAGGGGGCAATGGAGGGGGTGCTTTTTGATGACCTAGCCTCTGAATCCACATAGTGTCCCTCTGCCACACAACATGCTGAGAATGAGTCTGTCCAGCCCACATTCAAGCAGAGGACTTAGACTGCACCTTTCGAAAAAGAAGAATCAAAGAACTTTAACATTTTTCATGTAAATACTTGCAGGTAAGAAAAGTAAACTTCTTACTCTCAGTATTTCACCTATGATGCCAGATGTGGGAGGGGCTCTTCCCACACCAAGCAGTTTTCCATGGACACCACCTGGGTGTCCCATAATTCAAGTCCAGTTTGACCCTAACTGGAGTTACTGTTGAGGTCTCAATCTCACCCCACTACCCTCCCTCAACTTCCACTCACAAGTCTAGCTCATCACCCATGCTTTCGACCAACTGACTCTCCACAGACCTCAGATTTAATCATTTACTGGCATGGCTCACAGAGCGTGGGTAAACAGCTTATTCACTATGCCAGTCCTACAAAAGGCAGCCTATGAAGTTTATTGGTACATTCATAGCAAATGCCACAGTTACACTTATCATTGGGATCTTTTACCTTTACATGATGTATCTTGGTTCTTTTTTTCCCCATATCCCATCCTCCCTTCACCCCCTTCACCCTTCCCTATTTACAAAGACTTTGTTTCCTTTTTTTTTCATTTTTTCTCTTCCCTTATTTCCTTTCCCTTCCCACTTCCCCTTTAGCCATTTTCACACTCCCAATTATACTATTTGAACCTTATTTATCCTTTTAATTTTTCACAATAAACTATTTGGTATATACTCGTGTGTCCTATTTATTTCACTTAAGAGTATAGTCTCAATGTGCATCCATTTAGCTATAGATGTTTCTACTGTCTCATTCTTTATGGCTGAATAGTATTTCATTTTATAGAAAAACCGCATCTTCTATAAACAGTCTCCAGTTGATGGGCATTTGAGTTGTTTCCAGGTTTCAGCTATGACAAACTGTGCCGCTATAAACATGGGTCACATATATCACTGTGGTATGATTCTTTTAATTCTTTTGGAAATATACCCAGCAGAGAAATAGCTCAGTCAAATGGATCCTAACCCGAACCAGAACACTTAACAGTAACCCGAACAATAGCAATAACCTTAATGCTAACCCTACAACCCTAATCCAAACCTTAACCCTAACTCAGCTACACTAACCCTCAATTTATGCACCCTAAACCTCACCCTCCATAATCCTAAACCCCACACTAACATTAACCCTAACATGTTGCATCCATAACAATCAACCCCAACCCAAACCCAACCCTAACACTTAAACCTAAGCCTAACCACAACCACAACCCTAACCATAACCCCTAAACCCTAAACCTACACTTAACCCCTAACTCAAATACCAACCCCAGCCCCAACCCTAAACTCTAACCTCTAACCTCTAAATCCTAACCCTAACCCTAACCCCCTAACCCCTCACTCCAAACCCTCACCTCTGATCCTAACCCTCTTCCCCATCTTCAAGTACACTACCTCCCTACTTCTTATCTTTCTCCTTATCTTTCTCTCCACTTTAAATTATTTATATTTTAATTTCTCCTAAAAGACCAATTATATTAAAAGTTATGTCTCATTTGTTCCGATTAACATTATAATACCAGATTCATGCATCTGCCTACAAATTCATCAACTTTATGGCTCAGTAGTCAACCTAAAAAAGGCTGCATTGTTCATGGCAAAACAGGACATCTTCTGTCATGTTTCACATGTGCAAAGAAGCTAAAGAAAAGAAATAAGCTCTGCCCAGCATGCAGAAACTAATTCAAATGACTATGCTAAATCATTTCAACTAAGTGGCATAGCCATAAAAGTATATATTTTATTTTGTTTTGTTTTTTGGTACCAAGGATCAGACTCAAGCCCTTGCGCTTGCAAGACCACTGAGCCAAATCCCTGGCAAATGTATTTAAATTTTTTTTTGAGACAGGGTCTCACTATGTAGTTGAGACTGACATGGAACTCACTATGTAGCCCAGGCTGGTCTCGAACTCACAGGGGTCCTCCTGCTCAGCCTCCTGAGCGCTGCGTTTATAGGCATGAGCCACCATGCCAACTTATATTTTAAATTTTTAACTATATAAGCCTAAAGATTAAGACAACATATTTTATGAACACATATTAACGTACTCTTGATTATCTAAATTTTTAGGTTTAGTGTATGTATATTATTTATTGATTTACATATAAACAATTTATTGTATGTAAAAAAATCAGTATAGGACATCTGGTGTTTAGATGTTGGAACACAGCAACATGAGGAAGACAGGAAGGAGGGAAATAGGTGGATGTGAAGGAAGAATTGAGGCCCAAAGGAGAGCAAGGAGAAAGACTTCAACAAAGCAGGAGTTAGCAAGTGGTACTTTCTCCCTGAGCCCTAACTCACAGCATGGGAGGCGTGGCTTGAACCTAAAAATGCACAGTGACCACTGGTGACCACATAAGCCTCCAGAGAAATGCACCATTGGGCACAGTAGACTGCAGTGGCTGGTGAAGTTACTCAGGTTCAGAAATCCCCCAGGAGATCCTGAAGATAGGCCAACAAAGCTCAGAACAGCTCTGGGCTGGCTCCACTGGGGTGAGGTAGAATTAAATTCAAGTTGACAGGAGTTCAAGGAGCCAAGTACAAGCCAGCAGGAAGTGCAGCTCAAGCTGGCAGGAGACATAGAGTTGCAGGTTGGACAAATTATGTTTCAGCCTCACAGCTGGAAACCAGCCTGAGCTTCAGAACTAAAGGTGCAGACTGACTGAAATTATCCACTAGCCCACCGACAATCTATGGCTGGCTTGTTTGGACTAATCCACATGTATTTGCACTTTTGTGTGTCCAACATGTCTACCAGTGACAGCGAAGACATACTTTGAAGTGGACATTTATTTTCTTTTCTGGGTTTTCATTTCTTTTCTTGATTGATTGTTCTTGTTTTTATATAAGTGTGAACAATGTTTCTAGGTTTTGTTTTTTTGTATTGTTGTTCTGTTGTTTTTCTTTCTTCTCACCCCTCCTGTCTTTTTCATCAGTTTACCAAACTTCGCATAATCTTCCTTTGTCCTCTAGGCTTGTTTCTATTCTCTTACTTTTTCTATCTCTATTATTTCTCTACTAATCCCTTTAAACTTTCTCCCCTGAGGGTAAAACTGTTATACTGAGGGCACAATTACTTTAAACAATTTTTTGGCTTGTTTTAAATTTTGTTATACAACCACAAATATAGTTCATACAGTTAGAGGTGGCAAATTAATAGTAACCACATTTTGTCCTTTTCAAGGCTGTGTTTGATGTTATTGTTATCGACGATTGTACTACTTTTGCCAATCGTCAGAACTGTTCTAAACAGTTGTCCTTCCTGGTATACCAAGACTGAGATCGCCTAAGTCATAGGCAATAATATAGGTGAGTACCAGAGAACCAGGGTCTCGGCTAACTAGGCAGAAACTGCTCATCCCCAATAAATCGAAGAGGTAGGATCTTGCAACAGACTCAAAATTCAAAAGCCAGCTACCCTTGGAAGACAGCTCAGAGAAATAGTCATTCCCTAAGGGTTCTAAATGCTATGAATAAAGGTACTTGTCACAGACAATTAACAAGGAGCAACCCAGGAGTTAAACTAAAAAAGAAAAAAATAAAGAGCCTTAGCTAATTCAAAACCCACCCACCTGGACTCTCTGATGTGGTAAGAGTGGAAATAACAAAGCTGA